TATCAAAACGATTGGTTCGGGTACCTATTTGGAGAAGTTATTTGTTTAATTAGAGTAAACGTAATAGTACTGAATGGGGGAAAAATTTATTCAACTTATCTGGCTAATACGGCTGAGCTAGGGACTCTGAGTACGTGCGTGCTAACCAGCACTAAGGAAACGCGAGGTGGCTTCCAGGCCTGCTGGGATGCATGCTTGTTAGAACGAAACTTAAAACACCTAAAGCATCCGGAGGCGAGCTAGAGGCTTATTCAGTTAGTTTAATCTTATTTCTTTAGTTAGCACTAGTTGTATTTTGGTGCCAGGAAGGTGAATTACACTGACATCAAGAGTTAATTTTATTCCCACAGGTTGAGAATGGTCTACTCCTTGAACCTGTAAAAGATACATCAGTTTCCCTTAAATAAAGGCTTCATGTCCACCGTTAGTGAAAGCTTGTGCTCACAGACTCAGTTACCAATATCATGTCCTCTTTCTATCTATTTATTCTTGTAGTATATGTAGTATCAGGCACAAAAACTAGTGGTCTGCCGCTCCCAGATTTGAAAGCCAGTTAAGAGAAAGCCTTTTTTATCTCTGTTACCTTAAATTTAAAATATATGGTTATACTCTCAATTTGTTTTAAGTGTTCGTGTTGGTTTTAATGGCGCTCAGTTAGACGCAAATTGACTTAAACCGAAGAGGTAACTGTAGTAATTTCATTTGTTTTGTCTTATGCTTTTATCGTGTGTACCATGTTGATTCTTATGATACCTACTTTTGTCTATGTGGATGTGGCATACAACCCCTTTAGGTATGAAGTTGGATTTTTCAAATAAGTTGAGGGTTATACCTTAAACACTGTCATTTAGCAGCGACACATGAATGTTTGCTTACTGATTCTTGTCAACTCTTCTACAGAAAGAATCAGCTAGCCCTGATATAATTGGAAGTGGTAATGTTAGCTGTATTCCCCTAGGCATTATATCTGAAGTTGAATACGGGTTTTGTCATTTGTGAGGCTTTAAGAGGTTTTTGATGTATACTATTATTTGCTAGCTCAGTTACTACGTCTAGCTGTTGAGCGCGTTGTTTTTGGTGGTGCATTTAGAATGATAAGGGGGACGCTCTTAACATTCAGTACCGAAGACAGCCAAAAAACCTTTCTACTTATGAAGGCACGAATAACATTTTGTGATAGAGCTTGGACCATAGGCAAGTGGTTCACTGTTGTTTATCAGGTCAGTATTGTTCTTACATTAACCTACCTGACGGATATCCACTAGCTTGCTTGTCACAACGGACGATTAGCTTTGCTGATGAGTCGTTTGTTCTCTTGGGTTCACACCATGCTGGAAGTGTCAGTTGAATAATGGTAAGCCGAATTGCAGTTATCGTTAATTGTAGTGCAACTTACGCTATAATGGGGTCTGAGGGCGACCGTATTGCCGACTTGGGAGAGTGGTCGCAGAAAGGTGCTTCCCTCGGATGGGCAGCAGTTAACTGCCGATAACTCGAATAGGGTAGGGGTTAGCAAAGGCTGGCTCCCGAATAGCTCACCTCTTACCTTCCGGTCTTCCGTTGCGGACACTAGGTTTTGTCAGTAGAACTAAACTTGAGTGGTGGCGAGTCACGTTCAAGTATCCACTGCCTAGGTAAAAATATGAAGGACATAGTAGTTGTTAAGGAAGATACTACTTTATTTGCAGCTGATTAGTATTTTACCTGGGAGATGGAGATATCTAGATTTCAAGCGGGGTCATCACATTTGAAACTGTCATTGTCTGCATTGCTACTCATACATGTAAGCCAGTATTATAGATGTTTAGGAAATTCCGCTTCGCAGTCACATTAAAGACTAGGAAATTTCTAAGACGACTTCACATATTTCCAAGGTTCTTTATGTGCACTGCAGTTGTCTGACTAGTGAAGTACTTTTTGTGAACAATAGCTCGGTGGGAATAACCTATTTCAAATAAAGGCTTACGACTTCCAATACCATATACTTTTGCACAATTGCTAGGACAGATTTTTCTGATCTATCCTTTATCCACCAAAAATGTCTTTCGTATTTTGGTCATATATACCAATAACCTATGGTTTTGTCTAGACATGTTTGTATACATGCATTGAGCAAGTTATAACTTGGTTAGTCTTGTTTAGTTCATTTTCTTAGGTTATGTCCAAGTTTCCGAACATCTTTTACAGCTACATAACCTCCAAGAGACTTCATATGCAACCTACAACATAATCTACGTTATGCCATGTCAACAAGATGAATGGACGTAGTAAATAGCTTGAGTAAATCGTCTCCAACGTAATAAGTTGTCCTCAGGGTTTCCTGTGACTGAAACTTACTTCTATAGTTTCTCTCTGTCCGACGCTAGAACAATCACTTTTCACAGCAGCAGTCCAGAAGAGCCTCAAGCAGATCCCGCATTCGCTTTGCGGTCATAAGTCTCTTCTGGATACCATCAGAAAAGTAGTCTTCCACGGTGTGGGCATCAGGGAAGTATTGATCGCCCAAACGCTTCCAGTAGTACACCAAGGCAATCAAACAACCTGTCTTCCTCAACCCTCTCTCCTCTCTTGCCTTCAATTCCTGACGCTAATATTAACCCTTACTGGACCTCACTCTATAACCATTGCCAACGAGCAAAGCCATGGAAACCTCATTCTCAGTCTCCTAAGACCCCGCCATCGACTTCATGTAGGTTTTGACGGCCTACATGCGTCACATAAGACGCCGCTGAGATATCCGTTTATCAAAAGACGAGTATACTGCGCTGCATTTCTTTCTATCCTTGTATACTCATGTAAGAGCCGTTAGAAACAAGACATGAAGCGGTTACAGGTGTTTGATCTTCGTAGCGTCGCTCGCGTTTGGCGAAATCACCGTGTGAGCAGTGCTGAGGTCAGGCGAACGGCACTAGGCAAGTTGATTGATGAACTTGTGTACTTTAGTCGACTGAGATGACTTGGAAATGTACTGTGCATGCCTATCCACTGCCTACCTTAGCCTGTCATGCTGGGTGAATTTGTATTAGGTGGGAAGAGGGTTCATTGTGGCCACACCAAGATGTGACACCAGCCGATGAAGTCTTATTATTAATCTGAATCGTGTTGGCAGATGTAGACTGTCTGGTTGGAATCGAAATGCACTCAGCAGCCTTGTGCGAATTCGTGCAGTAGGCAATGGGCCACGCCTATTGTGTGAGGGCTAACGGTATCACCTGACTGCCCAAACCCCATGAGGTGGAGCGGAGCTCGAACCCGTGATCCATCGGTTGGGTCAATGAGCGACAGCCTAGTTGGGATCCCTGAGACGTAAGGAATCAGTGGTTTAGGACTTTTTGTCACATGGCTGAAGTCGGTTACAGTGGCCCAGACGTATTCACTCCGTAACACCTAAATCTTGAATATAGGCATTAACCTTTATCTTCAACTTGCTTATTCTCTACCAACTTTATTTTCTTTGATGCTTTTCCTATCCACCTGCTCTCTGTGCACTGCTGTAAAGTGTGAGAATTTGTAAACGCAATGAACAAGAATCTATTTTTCATGCACTGCGTACCTGTCAAATGTACGCCAGTGCTTCAGGGGTAGTTTGCAACTATAGGTTCAGTGACTAGAGACCTTTTGTGACATGCCTGAAAATAAGTCACAATAGAACGGATGTACTCAGTCTTTTACGTCTTCCGAAACTTAGGCGTTCACTGGTCATTTTCAATTTCTATCTCCTCATGCACGTTTATCTACCTTAGTATCAATATTTTTCCTGTCCATGCTTTTGCGTGCTATTGTGAAGTGTGGAGACTTGAATTGATTCACTTGTTTGTGAGGTCCTACGATTATTTTGTCTGTCTTGAGCGTTTCGTCCTTTACTGTCTATGTTTAAGACGATAGTGAATTCTCATCTCAGTCTACACACCTACCCGTAGTTATTTTTTTCGCTTAGCGTAGATTGACATGAATTATCTCCATCATTCCTTGCTACGCTTACCCTATTTTCAAGTTTGGATTTAAGATCTGTAGCCTCCGAAAACTATCTGAGGGGTTTAACTGCAGAGAGGGCACGTTCACATGTTTATCATCACGGGCACGAAAGTAGACGTCAATGATAATTTCCGGAGGTTAAAATCGTGTTTGTTAAATATGAGCAATTCGCTCATATATAGGTTGCGGGCTGATCAATGCAATCCGAAAGACTAACCGGATCTTGAAGTTACTTAAATCCACATATTCCCATTATTACAGGTTACCCTAGAAAACATGCGATTCCTCTATGCTAGCACACACTGGCCACCGCTGCACGTAAGTAGACTATAACTTAATTCACATGATCTACTTCCAGGTCAATAATAGTTCGGATGCTTATTGGTTAGACTATCATTGTCATGAATTTTTACCACATACGTAATATTTCCTGTAGTTGTGACTTATAAAATTGTCTCAAAAGAACTGGTCTGACCAATTAAAATTTGTGACAGGTGCTGACACATGTTTTTAGCAAGACTAGACCAAGAAGAGGAATGGCTTCACAAAATACACTAGTTCACTTTGTCTATCCACATTCGTAACATTCTGTTTTTTCGTTTCTCGTACTCTCCGCGTTAGTGCGAACCATATTGACCAATAACGATTTTGTCCGGTCCTATGTTGCTGATGTCTGTACTCCTGCTAACTGGCTTATGTGGAGTTGTGGCTCATTGGTTTAGGAAGATGACTCAAGTGGTAATTCACGGGTTCGAATCCCGCTCCACGTACCGAAGTCTGGGCAACCAGATGGTATTATTTGCCTTCACACAACAGGTGTGGCTGATTACCTACTACACAAATGTGCACAAGGTCATTGCACTTCGATTTTGAACAGGCTTGTTCGTGGAATTAAGTTGACCAATCAATTTTATCATGGCATATTTCGTTTGTAAATCTGGCAAGTAAGCATACTTGCCTAATGATTTGTTAAAGTTTGTGAAAATTGTGTACTGTTTTCTTTTAGATTACAATAAGTGTTGTCCATGAGTGACCCAGAAGGAATTAAATCATTCCTATACAATTTCTTGCAAACCAAGAAACGTGTCGCACCTGAATACACTTTTGTCGAAAAGCCTGTTGGTCGTGGAAAAGTCAGGTTCCTCTGTGAAGTAGGTTCACTTCATCACCAAAACTAGTTTTAGGTCCGTGCTGATGGTTTTAATTATGTTGGGATCGGGAATTCCACAACGAAAAAGGATGCTCAAACCAATGCAGCCAGGGACTATGTAAACTATCTTGTGCGTGAAGGTGAGATTCCTGCCTCTTCTGTCCCCGCAATGAAGGTATATCATGTACTCCTATTTAACTCTACAGCCTGTAAATGTTTTATCCGATGAGTCATCAACTACCTTATCTGTACCCGGAAACGATGAACAGAAAAGTGCAATCCAACAACAGCCATATTCATTTGGTCCTGGAGGCAATTATATTAGTAGTATATATGACCAAAAGAAATTAGAAGAGGTGAAGTTTTCATCGTTTCTTATTTTTGTTCTAGGCAGAGGAGGTAGATTTAACTTCCGATCTACACGGTGGTTGGTCACTGGAAAATGCTAAGGCTCGTTTGAATGAATACTTGCAGGCAACACGACAACAAGTAGGACAAGTGAAATATACAACAGTTGGTCCAGAGCATGGCAGGTGAGATTTAAATCATGTGACAATTATTTTAAATGCACTATGAAGTAGTTATCCTAGTTCTTAGTTGTAGTATATTGCTTATCGTTCAGTTTGTACAGTGGCAAGGCGGACAGGAATGCTGGGTGACAGAGTATTCAGTGCCCTGATCGCTTTCTCACTCAATTTCGCTTATATGTTAACGAATTGAGTGATCTTGGCGATCAGTTGGCTCTGAGTGCTAATCAAGTGATACGTTCATGTTTGTTTACAGCTTGTACTCGTGTTCTACGTGGTCATCGTCCAACCGCAAGTTCAGTAATGGTATGTTACTCAGGATTTACTGCCTGTTGATTATTTCGGAATGTTAGCTACCAATAATGTAGGATTTTCTGTTGGAACGTTTCAGTCAATGAATTACGTTAAACTAACCGTTTGAAATGCTTATAGGAGTTACATAGCTGAGATGACCGTCCTCGCGAAGAATCTCCGCAAGAACTTGTATGCACGAGAAGCAGGATCAAATAAACAACTGGCATCTCGTGCTTGTTGCTTATCGTTGGTTCGCCAGCTTTTTCACGCAGGAGAAATTGAGCCATACACCGGGGAAAAAAGAAAGAAGAAACACACTGAGGTGAGTTCAGAGCAGACAGTTTAATAACCAATCTGTTCAGGGTTTTATGTTCTCGTCAAATTAAGGCACTAAAGTTTCACGTCATCTTTTGATGAATTAACTTCACAACACGGTAGTTGTTGTGTTGTCAATAATTCATAACCTCTACAAATTTTGTAAGAAGGTCACCAAATTGATATTCAAGTTCACTCTTACACACGTCTTGAATATCATTAGGCTAAGTGGTTTTTCAATTCCATTAGCATCATATTGTACACAAATTAAGTTCTACTAAAATCGAATACTTCACTGTTTCTACATCTTGTTGTAAGATGCAGCCGTCATTTTGTCAAGTTATTATTATAAGAGTAGTAGTCATCATTGTGTTCTATTCATTCCTACTATCTGTGTTGTAGCGAGGTGTCATCATCATTATCAACATAGGACCAGGCATTACTGCGTAACGGTCCGAGTTGCCACACCTCACGTCAGTTCATCAAGTAAAAGGTAGTGAGGTGAAGGATGAAGATAAGTGAATGCAGTCAAAAGAAATATAAAGTACGAGAAGAAAGGAAAGAGGAGTGACAAAATAGTGAGATTCGGTATAGCGTTGTTAAGATGAGGATAATGTGTGTATACATCTGCGCCACTGACTTCGGTTCTGAGCCATATCACCTAGGGTCTCCAACCACTGGTTCCTCTTGTCCCGTGGACCCCAACCACCTAGTCTGCATCGTCCTACATGGCTTAAACCAACAGTCAGAGACTTCATACATTGGTGCCATGTTTTAGTCTGGCCACCTCGGGCCTTTTTCCAGCCTGGACCCACCTCAGCCAACATTGTGTGACGAGGCAATCGGTGACTAGGCATACGTAGTACGTGTCCCAACCATCTCAGTCGATGAAGGTTCACAACCTCGTCGACTGACTTACCTCTTCTTCCCAAAACTCTACACCTAACTTCTGCATTACTCACATGGTGACACCACGGAATACGTCCTATACTACGAAGGCAACGGTGGTCAAACACCTGAACCTTCTCATGTCTTCCACTTTCAATGGCCATGTTTCACAGCCATACAGTAGAACAGAGCGGACTGCTGTGCAGTACACGCGACCCTTAATAGACAAACGAATATCACGGCGGCGCCATAGGTGGCGCAAATTGGCAAAAGCCAATCGAGCCTTTTGTATCCGTGCAGAAATCTCATCGGCAACTAACCCACCGGGTTGATCCTACTTCCCAGGTAAGTGAAGTGGTCAACACACTCAACCACTTCACTCTCTATTGTTAACCGCGGTACCGCTGAAGACCAGTCCTGGAGCAAAAATTTGCATTTGGGTGGTGAAAATCGCATCCCAAACATTCTCAAATTCCCACTCAAAGTGTTCAGAAGACTCTGCATCTTGTCAGCGTCTTCACCTAACAGGACTATGTCATCTGCATATTCTAGATCTAAGGAAAATTCACCTGTGATGGGTCAACGTCTTTGTAATTAGGTGACGAGAGGGAAACCTCCATAAGAATATCTATGATAAAATTAAATAAGAATGGGGATAGTGGGCATCCTTGACGGACACCACTTGATGAGTATAGCTCCCTGGACAACTCACCATAGGCTCTAACATGCCCACAAGTGTTCGAGTAGAGAGCTTTCAATAAGGTGATGTACTTACTAGGCACGCCTTTCAGTGACAGACACTGCCATAAGACTTCTCGATCAACGGAGTCAAATGCCGCCTTCAGGTCGAGAAATACAGCTATTGTCGGGCGTCTGTAAGCATGCCTATGTTCCAGGACCTGGCGCAGTGTGAATATTTGGTCGATACATCCACGGCCAGGTCTAAAGCCTGCCTGGTTTTCTCGGGCTTGCTGTTCCCGAGCTCCACTCAGGCGTCGGAGAATTATAGAACTTAGGATCTTAGACACTATGTTTGTCAGGCTGATTCCTCTGTGGTTATCACAAGAGGACTTCTCGCCTTTCTTGAAGACTGGGATGATGAGTGACTTAGACCAGTCGGAGGGGATCGTATTTGATTCCCATATACTGGCTAACACTTCCGTTAGCCTGACTAAGAGAACTCTACCACCATTCTTGTATACCTCAGCAGGTAGTCCGTCTGGTCCTGCTGCCCTTCCCGTTTCAGGCTACCTACCGCTTTCTCAACTTCTTCTAGTGTTGGGGGACCTGTCTCTATGTCCCATTCAGGGTCCGACTGGATAGCGGGCAGCGCAATGGTGGCTGGAGGCCAGTTAAACTGTTCCTCAAAGTGTTCTGCCCATCGTCCCAGTCGCCTTCCCTGCGAGTGAATCGCAGATCCGTCCTTCTCCGCTATAACCTCACTAACTGTTGTTGACCATTTCCCCCCAGTCTCCTTAATAAGTCTAAATAACTGTCTACTGTTACCGATCGCCGCTGCCTTTTCCATCTCTTTAGCCTTTGCTGCCCACCACTGTTCACGATCGTTGCGCAGACTTTTCGTCAGTTATTTTTAAGTTGCGCTCGCTCTTCATTGTACTCAGAGCCTGCAGGGATGCATTCACGTGCATCCATTAGTTTGGAAGAAGCTGCTGATATCCACTGGCTCTTTTTAGCCATTATCTTGGAGTCGGCTACAGTCTCCAGTGCTGCTTTTACAGTAGACTGAAGATGGCACCAAGCTTCTTCTGGATGAGTGACAGTCTTTTGTTCCGATAACTGCCTAGCCAACTTCTCACTGAACACGGCTTTGGTGTTTTCGTTGTCCAGCAGAACTCGTAGTGGTTTTGTTGCCAAATTTTTTCTACGTCCATTGAGACGCAGGCATATACGTGCTCGGACCAACGCATGATCGCTGTCCAAACACGTACTCCAGAAGGAGCGGCAGTCTTCCACCGATCCTCTCCAGCGATGACTAATAGCAATGTGGTCTATCTGTGTCCATCGCTGAGTCGAGCTCGGTGGACGCCAGGTCAGACAGTGCCTTTCTTTATGTCTGAAATTTGTGCTGGCTAAAAATAGGCGGTTATCTGAGCATAGTTGTAATAGGCGATCACCGTTATCTGTACGTTCAGCTGGGATTCCGAAAGTGCCACCTAAGTGCCTTTCTGCCTCACTCAGTCTACCCACCTGTGCGTTGAGGTCACCTGCAACAACCACTACGTCCGAACGTTTGGCTTTCGAGAGGAGGTTAGACAGTTTATGGTAGAACTCGTCCTTCACTTCATCCGAACTGCAGTCAGTGGGTGCGTAAGCAGAGATTACAAAGAGACAACGGCGAGTCTCACTATTCCTTTTAGTTCTCACTGTGCCGTTCAGCCTCATAGCGCAGAGGCGACTATCAACTGGGATCCAGTCTAGTAGTGAGTTTTCTGCCCTGGTGCTTAATGCTATACCTACACCTGCAAGACCACGAGAGCTAGCTATCGAATCTCCAGAAACTCGAAGGGTGAATTTTGCAGATTCACCAGATTGGTCAGGTGAATAACCACACTTGGGTCCTGTATGCGTGTCTCACAAACACAGCACACATCCATGCCCGAGTTGCTAGAGTCTTTGCCAACGAAGCCTGTTGGCCAATTTGACGGAGGGTGCGGACATTGAAGGCTCCAATATGTAATTTGGAGCGTGGTTTAAGGAGACCAGGGATGCTGTTCTGTGGACTCAGATCGTTGTCGAAGGCTGCAGAGGTAGGAGAAATTGAAGATGATGCAGCATCATTAATTAAGAGACGTGAAGGAAGATTAGAAGGTAATGATGGAGCAGTCAGAAGAAACTTGGGTGCTGACAGAGTTGTGAGGGCGGTTGACACTTCCCGGCTGCCCACACCGTGGAAGGCTATTTCTTCTTAAGGTACCTGAAAGAGATTTGTGTGACCGCAGAGCCCATCGGACATCTGCTTGAGGCCTGTCACACCCAGCCTTTTGAGTATGATTATTTTGAACTTTTGTATTTTTGGGGCCGGATGGTCGAAAGGAAACGACAAGTGAACCAACACCGCCGGCCCGGCAGACCGTGGGGCGTGGTGGAGTGTGTTATTTTTGGGGCCGACCTTTTCTAACCCCCCCTTCCACTGAGAAGGCAGCATCAGCATGGCACTGCTGGTCATCCAAGGGAAACACCTTACTGCTGTCACACCCCATCCAGCTAGCAGCAGTACGACTTCGCCCTCAGACCCCCATCATAGTGTAGCAATTTACACTATAACGGTAACTGCTTTTCGTCTAACCACTACCCAACAGACCTTTCTGGTATGGTAGGACCTCGAGGGAACAAGCGTTCCACCAGCATAGCTCGTTGGGTCATTGTGATATGCAAGCCCGACCACCACGTCAAGGTAGCAGCTATCGGTCGGGTGTAGCGAGGTGTGGTAAGCATTGTTTGGGGGTAATGCAGAGGACGAGTTCGTGGATGCCCTTCGACGGAGGCAAACTGAACATTTTCGGTGCGCTGTGAGCCACAGGCTACCTCAACATGTCAACCGAAATAGGACTATACTGGATGAAACCAAATGATGAATAGGTGTGTGATATCGACTCATGAGGTCATTGGCTGTTGATTTCAGCAGAGTCAGGTAGACAGTACCAAGAGGGATCAGTCATGACTGCGTAGTGGTTCAAGTTGCCACCCCTTATATCATCATATTAAGCGAAAATGCACTTAGATTAATGAAAAAGAAATGAAGAAAACTATCGAGAATGGTAGAACGTCATTAAAGAGACCACGATGAGATGAAAGAAAACTGGGATTCACTAAAACGATTAAGATAAACATAATGTGAGGATACGTCTCTTTCCCGAAAACCAATTGAGTCATGTCACCTAGAGTCTCCAACCACTGGTTTCTGTTACGCGGACCCCAGCTGAGAAGTCTACATTTTCGTACACGGCTCAGACCAATAGTCAATAGATTTATGGACTGATGCCATGTCTTAGTTGAACCACCTTGGGCCCTTTTCCAGTCTGAACTTATTCCAGCTAACGTTGTACAGTGAGGAGGACAGTGACTAGGCATGCGTATTATGTCCCAGCTACCTCGGTCGATTACGGTTTACAAGCTCATTAGTTGACTTTCCTGTCCTCCCTAAAACTTTACGCCTGATTTCTGCATTACTGACACTATGACACGCGGTTTTATGCTATGAACGCAACGGTGATCGAACACCAGAAATCTTTTTGTCATCTACCTTTAAGGGCTATACTTCACAGTAATATAGTAGACAGTGCAAACTGCAGCGCAATACACTCAACCTTTATTAGATAAACGGATATCACGGTGACACCATAAATAGCGAAAACGAAGTGAGCATTTTGTATCCGCGCAGAGATTTCACCAGCCCACTAAGACTGATCTGACTTCCTACGTAAATGAAATGATCAGCCTGCTCAACCGCTTCACTCCCTATTATTGAACGAAATGCCAATGCAGATCAATTCTAAAACCACAACTTGGATTGAGTGGTAAGAAACATCCCAAACTGCTGCTCAATGTGTCCGCAAGACTGCATCTTGCTAGCATCTTCACTCAGCATGACTATATCATATGGGTATCCTCGGTCTACTAAGAATTCTCCTGTGATAAGTTCAGTCTCTCCGAAGTCAAGTGACAAGGGGGGACCTCCTTGTTTACGTCTGTGATAAAATTGAGTCAGAATGAAGAGAGTGGACATCCTTGATGGACACTATTCGACGTATACAACTCGATATCTTACCATAAGATATTACACACCCACTTGTGTTCAAGCGCAGAGCATCCGACAGAATGATATGCTTACCTTGGAGCCTTTTCAGTGAGAGACTGCCGTTGGACCTGCCAGTTGACGGATCCGAGTGCCTCCTTCAGTTCAAGAGATGCAACTCGTATCGGGCGTCGGCAAGTATGCCTGTGATCCAGAACGTGACGGAAAGTGAGTATCTTGTGGATACACCAACGACCAGGTTTGAAGTGTTTGTGGTTTCTTCGGGTTTGGTGTTCCCGAGCTTCACTCAGACGTCCACAGTTTTAGACACATCGTCAGGCTGATTCCCCTGGGGTTACCATAGGAAGACTTTTCACCTTTCTCGCAGACTAGAACAATCAGTGATTTAGACCAGTCATTGGGGACTGTATCTGACTCCCGCGCGTAAGTTAGCACTTCGGTTATCTTAACTAAAAATCCTTGACCACCGTCCTTAAATACCTCTGAAACTAGTCCGTCTGACTCTGCTTCTGTTCCTCGTTTCAGGTTACCTACAGCTTTCTTGGCTTTGGAAGTGTTGGGGTCTTGTCTCAATGTCCCACTCAGGATCCATCTAGATGGCGAGCAACGAAACGGTAGCTGGAGGCTAGTTAAACTGCCTTTCGAAGTGTTCTGCTCATCGTTTCAGTCGTCATCTCCCATTGAATCGCAAGTTCTAACTTCCGCGCTGTAGTCTTAATAACAACTAACATTTTCACCTTAGTTTCCTTGATGAGTCTAAATAATTTTCTGCTGTTACGTACCATCGCTACATTTTCCGTCTCGGATTTTCGCCAATCGCCACTGTTCGTGGTCATTGCGTAGACCTTTTATCAGTCTACATGTGAATTACTTCCACTCACCATGTTTGGATCCTGCAGAGGTTGCGTTCACATGTATTCAATAATTCCGAAACTGCTGAGATCCATTAGCTGTTTCTGAACACTTTCTGAGGATCAGTTACAGTCTTCAACTCCTTTTTACAGCAGATTGGAGATGACACCAGGCTTCTTCCAAATGAATAGTGCTCTGTTTTGATAACGTTTTGGGCATTGTCTTCCTATAATCAGCCTTATTGCTGTCATTGCGGAAATGTATTCCCGATGGTCTTTTTGCTGAGTTTTTCTCACGACCTTCCAGACAAAGACAAACGCTTGGTGGCTGTCCAAACACAAGCTCCAGAAGGAGCGGCAATCTGCTGCTGACATTCCCGAGACAACTGGTAAAATATGTTATCTATGTCCACCACTAAATTAAGGTCGGTAGACACCATATCAAACAAAGTCTCTCCCTGCAGTTAATGCTCTGCAGTAAAAGATAGTTATCTGATCACAGTTGTGGCAGGCGATCGCCGTCATCTGTTCGCCTGGCTGGATTTCCAAAAGTCCCAGTTAAATGTCTTTTGTTTGACCTTAGCCCATCCACCTGTGCATTCAGAAACCATCTACTACAACCACATCTGGACATCTGACTTTCACTAGGAGGCTGGGCAGTTTTCGGTAGAACATCTGTTTATTTCCAATTCACGTCTTGTGTCTAACTTTTGTTCACTCGATATTTGTTGACAACGGGATTCATTTGTTTTTCATGTTTCATATATAAAGGTGTATCATTTCGCATTGCCTTATCAGCATATTGATATCAAATCCCCGATTATTTTCATTCAGGTTGCGGCGTATAACGTCATTCTGAATTCAAAAGTAGAAGAAAATCTAACTCGTGTATTGGACAATTTGGGTCTACCGGTCAACTCAAAACCCCCACAAATCTCCCACCAGATCAAACGTACAATATGATTACCAATTACAACCTGGTGGATTTTGATGATGCTCCAAAACAGAAACCTCAGTTGATTGCTTGGTGCCCGCCGCTAGCTAACTGGAATCCATGGACTGCCTGCAATATCGATGAGGGTCCTGAGGTAAGTTTTCAGAGTTGGCGGTGCCACAGAACAGGATATGTTTTATTGTTTGGCTAGTATTGCGGGCACTACGGAAAATAATAGCGATAGAAGTACCCAAAAACGCAATGAATTGTATTTATTCGTCAATAATGTATTATAAAAGAGAAGCATTTTCTTAACTAGCCGGTTAAAAGTGGTATTTTAAATACTATTTACGTTCTAGAGCTGGGAACACATCTTATACATGTATTATCTGTCGTGTCTCTACGCGTTTACTGAGATGTCCTGTATAGTATCCTTAAAGGTGCTTTCGTAACTGAGCCCTAGGGAACCTAATGCAGCCTCAGCACCAAATTAAAGATTGGCGTAGCTGCAGATTAGGACTTTTAATGAGGAAATTACTAATTATGAAAGCTTTGTAGATACTTAGAATCATTTTCGGCTAAAGCTTTCAAGGTAGGATCTTGAAGATAGTAAGTATTTCAATATAACAAAGTGGTTTACATTAATTCAATCACCTACATACTACATTTCTTCGCTACAACTACTAAATTGCAGGCTAGTCTTAGTTGACTTTACTTTCAGATGAAAATAATAGAATTTTGAGACTATTTCGCTTCGTCACGTAGTGTTGTTGATCATAAATTATCCAAAGAATTTCGACGGCGATCTGGTTGAGGAGACTAAATTTTCTCCATTCAGTCAGTTGCAGTACTCCAAGTGAAGAATTATAAGTCCGCGGACGGTGGTGTTATCACTTCAGATGAGCATACCGAGCCACTACTAACCTTCTCGCTGTTTGATGTCAACTAATATAGTTTTGTGTTAAAAGGCGACTCATAGTGAAATCAAGCCAACTATGAAGTCCTTCATGGTTGATCTGATCCTCACGAGTAGGTGTGAACTTTTGGACTGGGGTCCTCATGATAATAAGAATTTGTATTTTGGGAGCCTTGGTGATCATCAGCTGGAAATAGATTACAGTGAAACAAGTGTTTGCACTTTTTTACATTTGTTAGTCTGAAAATTTTCACTAACCTTTATTTATTACTACTTATCTTCCATACACTTCTGCTTTCTCTAACATCACCCTCTCTATCCGCTTGTCCTTTGCATGCTGTGGTGTAGTGTAGCAGCTTAAACCAACGTGCTTCTATGCGAGGTTCAACGTTAATTTGTTCATGTCTCTTTGTTTCCCGCTGAAACCTAGCTCTACCTACCTTATTACCGTAAACTTACAAGTATTGCTCTTGGCTTAGTGTTATGATTAGTTGTGAGAGCGAACGTAAATACTTTACGACTGGTGGTCGATAACTGAGACGATGTAACCCGAGTGATTCGCAAAGAGGAATCAAACCACTGGAAACTAGATGAGTTTATAGTATCTCGGACCGAAAACGGACCCTATTTATAGAGTTTACAGTAACCTTGAAAGACAAAGAATAATAAGTACTGATGTCAGTTCATGATGAGTAACAACTTGAAATATTCCAAATCCCCACAACTCCCTCAAACTTTAATATATACAAACTGTTAGCATGGAATATAATGGATATAAGCATCCCTAACACTTAGTACACGAGGTTTTACCGGGTTAAATTACATTTTTGTTTTTCAAGTAATCTCGAGAAGTTGTCTCCTAAAATGCTTTTTTTCTTATATTATTCACACGGTTGAAATTCGCCGTTGAGAAATCCCTTTCTAATATAGAATGTATCGGATATATAGGCAGGTATATTATCAGTTCCTGTATTGATTGTTGAATTCTCATGTATTCAACAGATAGCTTGCAAATCAATTTGTCATCTGTTGCACGTGATATGATAAGGTTCCTATTTTTCTGAGTCCCAGAAAGATCTGTTTCCATGATAATTTGTTACTAGGAGACTGGTTTTTATCATAGCGAACTCGCTGAATGTGTCAGTGTCTTGACGTCTCTTATAATACATATTTTCATAAGAATTTTGTAGCAGTTGGTAGGTAACCAAAAAGGATTTCGAAAGAAGTCTTTGTGTAAAAATGCATAGTTTATCGCTGACTGTTGACTACATATTTTCTGCGTTATAGTCACTTATTTACAACTTATATTTGGTATCTGTATAAGAAACAGGTAATATTTTCTTCTACTCAAATCAAACGTTGTTTTGTAAACGTAATAATATGCAAGATAACCACTTTTTCCATTTAATCACAAACTAGATGCCTTGTCTTTTAAACTGAAGTTAGTTGATCCCTTAGTGTGTAGATTTTCTTGCGATGTAGTAAGATATTTTTCAAACATCGTATAACTGAACCAGGCAATTGATAAATAAGCCTTCATTTTATTTCTCTACTGATTTGGATTCATTGATTGTTATGGGTTTACTTTTTTAAAACAAATCTATCGTTAATTGGTGCTCGTTATTCTCTGGCATGTGGTCTCCATGAACGGATGCAGTGGAGGCGACTGTCATGATTCAGTAACCTAGTGACTAACGCTCTGGTGTTTGAGGCGATGGGTGCTAGAATCCAGTCTCAGTTGGAACGCCATCACTCGCTGGAATGCGAGTACCTCCAGCAGCCTCCATAAAACAAATCGCTCCTACATTTTGCCGATAGATGGATCATAATTTCGTTTTATGAATGAAGACATCAGTACACCCATTGCTCAAGTGTGTTGACTTCGGTGCTTTCATATAGTTGATAGCTCGTGTTTTCCTAATATTTTTAAATCTGCTTCACAAATTATGTTTTTTTTTCTGTCTTTGAAGGCTACTCAACCATTATCCCATATTAGCGCTAACTTGGCGAGTGAATGGTTACGTCGACTGGATAATGACCCTCAATTACGAGCCTTAATGGATGAACGTTCCCAGCTACCGGTGAATCTTTACAAAGTTCCGATCTTGGAAGCCGTGAAACGTGACAGAGTAACAATAATTCGGGGTGAAACTGGCTGCGGAAAAACTACACAAGTCAGTCTTATCATGTTCATTTTCGTTAAATATTGTTTGGCAAACATTTAATATATTTACTAGTTATTCTGACTAATATATCTATTCGAATTTTAGATCCCTCAGTTCATTCTGGATTCATATCTAGAATCAGGAAGAGGTGCAGAATGTTCCATTCTTGTAACACAACCTAGACGCATATCAGCAATTAGTTTAGCTGAACGCATTGCTTACGAAAGAGGAGAAACTGTTGGAACTTCTATTGGGTACTGTGTTCGCTTTGAGACGGTGTATCCTCGTCCATACGGTTCTATACTGTTTTGTACCGTTGGAACTATGGCACGCAAAATGGAAGGAGGTCTACGGGGAGTCTCTCATGTAATTGTGGATGAGATACATGAAAGAGATGTTAATACTGACTTTATGCTTATACTGCTACGTGAGATGATTCGAGTGAACAAGAATCTTCGACTTATACTAATGTCTGCCACCATCGACATCAGTATGTTCAGTGACTACTTTGGCGATTGTACGATATTGGATATAGAAGGTCGGACGCATCCTGTTGAATGTAAGTAATTTTGTGGTCATTTTTATCTTTTCAGCTAGTGTTTTTAGTGATACAAATCGTACTGAAACTCCGAGACTCCTCAGATATATAGTTTTATCATTTGACTTTTGGTGCCATCATTCACTCGAACAGCCTTTCTTAACTGGACAGTTAAGAAACTTTCTGAAAAATATGAATAAGGAAGAAGAATTGAAATGAATAGCAATTTCATTTTCTGTAACTGACTTTGACTTTTGACCTATTTTCAATATTTATGAAACATTTGCCAGGTGAATCTTAATTTTCTGGAAAATGTTTACTCATGTTCAAAAATGCTAAGGTATGTGGTCTTCCGATAACCATTTCTGTCTGAGTAGTTAAACATGAATGAACCGACTAACAGTTGTTTCGTGAGTTGAGAAAGTTGTGTGTAGAGGAAAACTTGAACATTATTTTAAAGTCGTTGGTAATCTTCTTGTTTTTTGGGAGGAATATTTTCTTTCAAAGCATTAAACATTCTTTAACTCTTTTGGTAATCATGATATATTGCGTTGGCATGGTGCTGTCGCAAAGCACGTTTCTTGCATCTTAATGTATCAAGCCCTTAAGACAGGACACGCATAACTAGCAACACTCATACTTCTGAAAATTTGCAATTAACCGCTGGTTATGCATTTTGGGTATATCTTTTAAGTATCCTGAAATTTCGAATATTCAAGTAAGTGTTCAACTTCGTTATTTTTTGTGCATGCTTACGTGCATACATGGTGACCGAAAAAGCCTTTGTCTGTGCACAGTTGTAGCAGGCAACCACGGTCATCTGCTCCTTCGGCCGGTGTTCCGAAGTACCTCGTAAACGCCTTTCCGTCTGATTTAGCCTACCTACATGTGTATCGAAATCACTTGCCACAGCTACTACATCAAAACGTTTGTTTTCGGGCGAGACAACCAACCAGGTTTCAGACCTGAAATAGGGCGCATCGACCAGATTCTCAACCTTCAATGTGTTCTGAAACGCAGCTATAGTTACCAGCGGCCGACATACCATATTTCTTGACCTGAAGGCGAAATTTGACTCTATTAACCTTGAAGTATTGTGTCACACTATCTGACTGGGAAAGGGGTGCTGAGCAAATATGTAATGATAATCGAAGCTCTCTATTCAAACTTACACAACCGTGCAAGGGCTTGTGGAGAATTTCCATCAGAATTGACGACGACTAGTGGTGTCCATATCTGTTTAACTTCGTTATAGATGTACGAATTAACATAACAGTAGGCAGGTCTGACTTCACAGGGCTTGATCTACCGCTTGGAAACCATCTGGTTGACTTGAGTACTCAGTTGATATTCTGTTGTATGCGCGTCTCACAAACATAGCACACGTCTGTGGTTCTAAATGTCGAGTTTTTAAATAGCGAAGCTTGGCTGATTTTACAAAGTGTAGATATTCAAAGCTGCGATATATAGTTCCTAGCCAGGAATGCGTTTCTCTGAACTGAAATCGCTATCAAAGGCTAGAGAGATGGAAGAAATTAGAGATGACGCAGTAACATTGGCTGCTGGAAAGGTTAGAACATAAATATACGGAAGGTTGATGATGATCGTAGGAAAATTCAGCTCTGACAGAGTTGTAAAGGCGGTTGACACTTCCTGGTAATAGTCACTTGGGTTTTATCTGCTTCTAGAAATCCTATAGGGAAGGCAGCATCAGCATAGATTGCTGGTCGTCCGTGGAAACCACCTTACTTCTGTTACATACCATCCAGCCAGCAGTACAACTTTGCCATTGGATCTCCATTCATAGCGTAGTAACTTAATAAAAACTTTATAGGAAGTCTATCTTTCAATAATCCATCGTTTTCGTTTTACTGTCTGGATTTCTGTTTTGATAAATATTTTTAACACTTCAGTGTTGTCTTGTCTCCATGGGGTGACTTTTAGTAGGTGAGGATGAATTAAGATTCAGTGCCCGTGTATTTTATGATAAAATGTTTTATAACGCGTTATCCAGTTTTGGTTCTTCTATAACATTCGTCAAAGTAATACTAATGTTTACTGTAAAATAATGTGTCCGTTTAATGAAAAAAATGGAGCATAACTCCACGTATACTCGCTTGCATGTGTAAACGTTAAAGTTGTCATTGTAAACTTTTCTGATGCATGTAAATATATTAGCTTCACTAAGGGACAAGTGTACCTGTTTGTTATTGTTTGTACAAATAGGATTTAATAGAATGAGTTACTAAGGTAATAGTTCATGCTTTTCACGTTAATATGCAAGTGCCACTTTATTTTTCAACATGTTTTATACTAACAGTTTCATAGGTTAATATCAACCAGCCACAGTAACCGCAGTACTTTATAACAGGTTTCTCACGCCTTGTTTTTTCGTCATGTCTTTAACCTACTGGGAATGTTTTCAATCCAGTTTTGCGCAGACTTCCTTTGAGACAGCAATTACGTTTACTGTTCACTTTGTCGATTACGATAAGGTCAGATTCATAATTCATGATCACCCTTCTCTTTACTTTTGGAATCCTTAGTATTTCTGCGTATATCGGCAGTTGCGCATCACTTCAGAAATAAGAGAGTGGTATAAAATCAGAAAACTGACTGATTTTCTTGTAACACTAAACAGTCACACAGTATCGATGCCTAACCCTGCAATGCTGTGTAAGGGTTCAAGTTGTCATACCTTATATATCAACACACCAAGATGCAGGACAGGAAGGTAGTTAACAGTGATTGGAAGTTACGAGAAAAGAAGAAGTGTGGTTAAAACAAAACGATTTGCGATTAAGATGAAGATAATGTCTGGATGCGTCTGCTTAACTGATATCGATTCTCATCCATTGTAACCGATTTCAGTTGTCATATAAACTCTAACTGTAAAGTCCCTACACTTAACCTACCTGTACGATTCAAACCAACACTCAAGCACTTCATAGACGGATGTTATTGTTTTAGTTGGACCATAGTGACTAGTGGTTCTGTATATAATTATGTGATTGATATAAGTTTGTACGCCTACATTTATCAGCGAGCAAAGCGCAAACTAAATTGAACAGTGTAAATAACACCCAGTTTCAATCAATAAGAAAGTAGCAAATACTAAATGCAACCAAATAAAGTAAGAATTTACACTCGGAATGTAACTTCTTCATGAGTACTATTAATCGGTAACTTTGAAAAAACATGTCACAAAACTCAACTATTTTGTTTCTCAAAAGAAACATATGCTTTAAATAAATTACGCGTATATATCGGTACATCGATCAATTGGATATGTATGTGTTGAGATGTTCTCATAGCAACTAGACCCATAGTTTGGATTCTGACCCTGAAAGTCTCACTTTTTTGCATAGTATAACACACAGTATAGTCACGTATTGTTTGCAGAGTTGTGCACTAATCCTTGATATCTTATGATCAATTTCACCCCCCACTGCATTGTTAAACTGGTAGCTCAGAATTTACCTCTTTTTTTCATTGGCAGATTATTTCCTGGAAGATTGCGTAAAAATGGTCAACTTTGTGCCACCTCCTCCTGACGAGAAAAAACGAAAACGTCGTCAAGAAGTGGAAAGTGTTTCAGATAACAATGAAGATAATTGTAATCTGATGTGTGATCCTGTCTATGGAGATGCCGTAATTCGTACTATGAAAGAAATTACAGAAAAAGAAGTTCCTTTTGAGCTTGTCGGTGCACTACTTGATAAGATAATAAATATGAGCATTCCTGGTGCAGTCCTTGTTTTCCTTCCGGGTTGGAATATCATCAGTCTTTTACGTAAATACTTACAATCACATCCTAGATATGGAGGTCCAGATTATTATATCTTACCGCTTCATTCTCAAATCCCGCGCGAAGACCAACGATTAGTTTTTCGTTCCACACCTCCTGGAGTAAGAAAAATTGTATTGGCAACTAATATCGCTGAGTCTTCTATTACTATCAATGATGTTGTCTTTGTAATTGACTTTTGCTTATCACGCACAAAACTCTTCACTGCACGCAATAACCTAACGTCATATTCTACTTCGTGGGCAAGCAAAACCAACCTTGAGCAACGTCGTGGTAGAGCCGGTCGAGTGCGTCCAGGGTTTGCTTTTCATCTGTGCAGGTATGCGAACCGAATAGCTAAGAGTTGATGACTTTTTTATTTCGCCTAACTACAACTTGATTTTTTGTTGTAGAGGCGTTTAAAAACTTAAACTAGAAAATATACCGCATTTTGTTGACAGGAATAATTAGTATTTTAATTCCAAGTTGTCCTTTAACTGTGTCTTCTCTGCTTTTAATTTTGTAGCCGAGCACGTTTTGAACGTCTGGATCAACACGCTACTCCCGAGATTCTTCGTACTCCATTGCATGAATTGGCGTTACTAATTAAGCTTTTGCGGCTTGGTTCCGTCAGAGACTTTTTAATGAAAGCCTTACAACCCCCACCGCTAGACGCAGTAATTGAAGCTGAGCACACTCTTAAAGGTAAGTTCTAAACCCATACTTCGTTTTTGAAATTTGTTTTCGTTTAGTGCCTCAAGCTATACCATACCTATACATGTAGCATGGCAACGTGTGTTAAGGTAAGAGATGTTGTTTGTCTGGTTTGGGCGTAAAAAAAGGGCACGATATTTTTAACAAGAGGTACCAGAAACAAAGATGAAGAGTAAGTGATGATGGACTGAGTTTGGTCTGTCTTTGGGAAATTTCGAGCATTTCTCGACTGCCCAAATCGTGGGAGTTGATGTCTCTTTGAAGTAATTGAAAAAGATGATGGATGAGTTTTTTATTTTTATGTGATCGCAGTTATTGTTTCCAGTCTTCTCAATAGCGGTCAGATAGATGAACGATAGTTAGGAGCTTTGAATATCCCCAGTAGTAAGCAGTAAAGACACTAAATGGACTTTCATCCCGAGGCTTGATGACATTCTCAGCACTAACTACATAACGATATGCTTCACTTCTTAAATTAAGTGCTGACCTGGTGATGATACGTCCACACAAAAAATTACAAAGCTCGCAGAATATTATCATCCTGAGCTACAAATAGGTTTCCATTTCTGTATCGACTCACTTCCTTTAAGTTACATCCTGCAGCAATAGTTCAAGATGATATGTGTCTTCTCTCGTAAATCTTTCATTCAAAGTTGTGCCCCTAAATTAATGCAGTTCGCAAGTTGATACGCCTTACTTTTTTCCAAATCTACTAGAAATGAAAGCTCTGGATGCAAATGATGAACTAACTCCCTTAGGATTTATACTGGCTCGACTTCCCATTGAACCGCGTCTAGGTAAGATGCTTATATTTGCTTGCGCATTCAATTTGGGAGGGGCAGCTGCTGTTCTTACATCTGTTGCAAGTCTTGGCTGTGATCCATTCTTACTACCTCCTGATCACAGAAGACTTAGTAACCATCAGCGATCGTTTGCAGCCGGTTACTCAAGCGACCACTTAGCAGGTTTGAATGTCTTTCAGGTATGGGCTTCTGAACGTGCTCGCTTGGGCGATGAATCAGCTGATCTATTTTGTGAGCAGCATGGATTCAATAGCTCTGCATTACGAATCATTGACGATGCTGCAAATCAAGTAAGCATAATTCTTTGATTTACGTTTCTGCTATTCTTCCACTTTATCTTTGTTATGCATAACAGCTTAATATTTCGTTTACTCGTACAATTTCACCTGTAACCAAGAAAACTAACCATCACTTGCTGATAAAATGATTCTCTCTAACCAAGCTTAATATATGGGAGGCAGCAGGTTTAATCATTTCATGCATCAATGCAAAAAGTCAAGTCATTAATATAAAGCTACGCTCACCAATGTTACACCACAAAGCTAGAAGTTCACGCTTCATTCAAAATTTACGTACTCAACCTTATTAAGCAACAAACATAGACAAGATGATAGTCATTCAGAATCATCATAATAGCATCTGATGTAGAGGTACGCCTCATAGGTCTACACCGTTGACTTTCTACCAGTAGTGGGTCACTGGTTCGAACCCCAGTGCATTTACTGGGATTCGGTTAATCAAATTATGTCATTAACCCTAACACAGTAGGCGTGGTTCACTACCAAGTGCATAAACAAGCAAGTGATCGCTGCCAATTTATTCAGAAAACTTCTAAGAACAGGTGTTTAAAATCTTATATATAGTACTTTGAAGAACAGATTAGCTGACGTACATTCACGCTTCAGTTGCCTAATATCCAATCCAAACCTAGGTGCGATGTAGTTATCAGTTCTCCAAATCCCAGTAAGGTTGAGAAAACTGCTTCAAACCTGAACCGATGCAAAGCAGCGGGACGTGATATATTGCCATCATAAATTTCAGAAGATGGACGTAGAGAAGTAAAGTAAAGGAGATATTAGCTAGTGTATGGGTATCAGAGGTGTAGTCCTATCAGATGAGCGTAGATTGCTGGTTATCCCAGCTTATAAAAAGTTAGTGAAGTCATCGTGTGACAGCCATCATAGAATTTGTTTGACTATCAATGCGTTTAAGATTTTAGGATCCATAGTCAATAGAGGCCTAAATGAAACTCGAAAGCAACCAAATCGAGTCCTGTTAGGTGGACAAACTGAGAGCATGGAGAACAACTTAAGCATGTGAGTAGTTTTGCAGATGTCAAACATGAGATGATGTTTCAAGATTGGTGTTTAGCGATTCCTAATTTAATAATCGAAAGTGAAATGGTAGGATGCTTTTACTGCCCGAATGGGTTAATTGGTGTTCATATATTAGCTCTGCCAAAAGAACCTTTCGGTAATTGTGGATTTTATCATTTCTGGCACAGACCCACTTCTGTACAGCATTCTATGTTGATTTGTTTGTTCAGACACCAAAATGAACAAACTGACCTGATGGACTGATGAATCCCAGTTGTTTTTTCCTTCCGGTTACATTTGCAATTCAAGTTTTATCTGTGTGTTGCGATATTACTGTTTATCACTTCACTTAACCAGACTGTAAATAAACAATAGTTACATAGATGTGACTCAATCGACTACTCGAACCTGCTTATGATTATTAAGTTGCACACACAAAGAAATAAGTTACTATAATCTACTCTCTCCCTCTACAAACAAATCATTCATTTATATGTTGGTGGTAATTTTTGATGTTTTTGTATCCTTATCCTCTAATTGTAGCTCAGAACCATTCTTATTAATTTGGGCTTCCCTGAAGACTCATTGTCTGATGCACCGATTAATTTCAATGTTAAACACAATATCGACTGCGATGTAGTTTCCACACTGCTTGTTTCTGGATTATACCCTAATATTTGCTATCATTCTGAGAAGCGCAGACTTTTAACCATTGAAGGTACTTTAGCACTTATACACAAAGGTTCTGTCAATTGTGTAAAGGATATGAAATTCACCTACCCATTTTTCGTTTTCGATGAAAAGGTAAGCCTACTTAAATACTACAGACATTTTAATGTTTCTTAAATTGTAAATCATTTCCTAAGATTTAAAAACCCCTATGCTACAGTGTTTGTCAATTGCCTTAACTGCATTGATCAATGTTTACAGGTCTAAATATATATATCAGGTCATCGTTCGTTTTGTGACATTGTCCAGATTTCGATTGCATCTGATTACTGACTTATATTTCTAAGTTTGATAATATCAATTTTCGTTATGTTGTTGTTGTTGTTTCTCAGATTCGTACTCAGGCGGTTTCTTGCAAAGGTCTCACAATGGTGAATCCAATTCAGTTGATGCTTTTTGGTTGCCGTTCAGCTGCTTGGCGAAATGATGATTCTGGAGAGGAAGGAACAATTATAATTGATGATTGGATTCCTTTCCGCATGAATTACATTTCTGCTGCTAGAATTTTCGCTTTCCGCCCGGCTTTGGAGGCATTACTTGTTCGAACCTGCTTACGACCGGAAGGTGTCGCTGACCTTCGAGAAGAAGATCAACGTGTTATTGATGTTCTCCGTCAGTTATGTTCCCCAGAGGCCCTAAATCCAAACGCTAGTTTTGGCACAATGAATGATACTGACTCTCCACCAAAAAAGAGATTTGCTTCAGCTAGTAATTGTCCATTACTTTCCGGTCGATCGCGTCGCCAAACAGGATATGACAATTCATATTCTGAAAAGCAGATTTTTGGCTCTTACACTAATCACCCCAGTCGTTTTGGTTATCCAGACCAAATGTATGACGGTCAAGGTGGTTCTTGGCAAGATTCTCAGTCACAGTTTTCAAATCAGCGATACAACCAAGTGCAACCAAGACGATTTCCAGGAAACACTGCAGGATCGAGGTCATATGGAACCAATTACACTGGAAGTAATAATAATAATAGCTCATCTTGGAACTCATACGGTGCTTCAAATTTCAATGGTTCCCCATATCAGCAGCAATCGTTTGGTGATGATAGATTTGTTCAACAAAGGCCGTTTAGACCTAGTTGGGGTGGCCGTTACTGATTTCTGCTGATGCAGCTTTGTTTTACAAACTACTTCAGCTCATTTTAAAGTTTTCGTTTGTGGACCTTATTGATAAATAGTTCATGTTTTCGTCGCATTTTCATAGTTATTTGTTTTACCTAAATACCAGTTTTTGTATCCGACTGAAACTTTTCATGGTTTACTTAATTCTCCTGTTTACATTCGTTCATATCATTTTTTTTTTTGAACATCACTTTGAAAATACTATTAATATTATATAATACCCAATGTTTCCTTTTGCAGATGCGGTAGCCTACATAAATTGTGTGGAATCTATAAACTTCACCAAAAAAATAAAATACACCCTTCCATCTGTGTGCATGCTTTTTGGGTTTGACTAATCAATTACCATACTCCGAAGTAAGCAGCGAATAAGTTCATTTTTGTCGTTCGTGAATGGCTTTCGTTTATTGGGTTTCAAAGGGATACTAATTTTTTTTTAAAGACTTGTAGGAGTGTCAATGAAGAGATTAATGGTGTGTTGGAACGGAATGTCCATGAAGACATTAGGGGATTCCAATAATTGTTGAGTGTGGGTAGTCAATGTCTGAAAACCGACTATCGATTGATTCGGAATAAATGCATTAACAGGAGAAACATACGCCAAGCCCTCTTTTCACTAACCGCTCATCTGTATTTGTCTTATGTCCAAAGAGACCTAAAATACATTATCCTTATAGTGTTACCGAGAGAAGACAGTTTTTAATGATAATATTTGTACTGAATTCTGGGGCTTATTTCAGTATCATCTAGGATAGATTTTTTCGAGTATACCACTAGATAAATTTCTTTTGATTTAAACTACAGGTATCCCTTAGCGTGTGTGCATCTGCAATTGTCTTCGCAACTACTCACATTTTACACGTACCTCTTTCGTACATATGCCGGGGTCCTAACTTCCAAGACATCGATATTCATGAGATACCGTTAAGCGCTTTACTTTTATGATCAACGTGCAACCTCGCACACAAATGGATCGTTTCTAGTCGTCACACTTTACAGTAGTATGCAAAGAACTGGTGTCTGGCAAAAGACTGTCAGAGTAGGCAAACTTGGATGAGAGACTAAACAATTTGAGGTTCAAGGTTGGTGCAGATATTCAGACTTTAGAGAATGTCACATAGTCACTTCTAAAACAACGGAAGAAAGCTGAGTTTCCCAAATGTGCTTAGAGAGGAAAGGACTATCAGTAAATTTAGGTCAACAAAAATGTTCAGGATTCAATTGAGAAATATTGTCCACGTATGCAGATTTGTTGTCGACTTTGAGTCATCTCGCCTCGAGTCTGCGGGCATTGATTGATGTCATCTCAATCACACATCGTACATGTCTCAGACCAGCGATCACAGACCTCATGAATCGATATCACATACATATTCGTCATTTGGTTTCATCCAGTATAATCCTATTTCGGTTGACATTATATGTTGAGGTAGCCTGTAGCTCACGGCGCACCGAAAATGTTCAGTTTGCCTCCGTCGAAGGGCATCCACGAACTCGTCCTCTGCATTACCTCAAACAATGCTTACTACACCTCGCCACAACACAGATAGTAGGAATGAATAGAACACAATGATGACTACTACTCTTATAATAATAACTTGACAAAATGACGGCTGCATCTTACAACAAGATGTAGAAACAGTGAAGTATTCGATTTTAGTAGAACTTAATTTGTGTACAATATGATGCTAATGGAATTGAAAAACCACTTAGCCTAATGATATTCAAGACGTGTGTAAGAGTGAACTTGAATATCAATTTGGTGACCTTCTTACAAAATTTGTAGAGGTTATGAATTATTGACAACACAACAACTACCGTGTTGTGAAGTTAATTCATCAAAAGATGACGTGAAACTTTAGTGCCTTAATTTGACGAGAACATAAAACCCTGAACAGATTGGTTATTAAACTGTCTGCTCTGAGCTCACCTGAGGCTCCTTTTTTCATTGTTGTATACTTCACTTCTAATCATGTCAAGTGCGTGTTGTAATAGTGGACAATTCTTCCTGTCTTTTGCTCTCTACTTATACTTCCTTTGACTGGTTTCTCTTCCCTTTTTCATCTTCCATTTTATTGTTTCGCAACTTGGTGTGCTGAGATGAGGTGTGGCAACTTAAGCGGGTTCACAACACTGTCCGATCCTATTTTGATCTTGATGATGATAGTAGACAATTGGTTGTCGTTATCGTTGGTGTTTGTATTTGACTACGGTTTTGCGTAAACTCAGGTTTTAAACCTATTTCACCGTTGTTTATTTACTCAGTATTCCCTCATAATTGCTGTCATTACGACTCCTAACTTGCGGGTGTGAGTCCTGGTTTTCATGCAATGACTCCAGAGGTCTATTGAATTTGAGAGTAGTTTCTGTTTTCTTTAAATCCCAATCTTGCTGACTAGTCTTGGTGTCTATTAAGTGTTAACCAGTGACGATGCATTCTATATCTTTTGCGTTCGCCATCCTGCGCTGTTTTGCGGCGTTGCCAGCGATCTGAATGGGTTTGCACTGTAGATGCTCTGACCAACTGGAATTAAGTGTTGTAGCAGGAAGAAAGAAGTCATATTTCTCATACGCTGGCGAAATACAATGCTATTAGTCTTTGTGTGGATTACCGATCTACGCTCGTCTTTTCTCTGAGTTGGCTGGCAAGATGCTATTGGTATTAGGATCAAGTGGAATTTAGCTACTCGGCACAAAGATGTTAGATAAGACCAGCGTTTACCACTTCTTTCAATCATACGACACCAAAACCGAGGTTAAGACGAGCAACAAAGACCATACTTTCAGATCAGGTTAATGAAGGCCTGTTTTGCTGTCTGTCCGCTCCTGACTTTGATATCATCTGTGCCGCCTTTTGAAACGATGCTGCCACGGTGGGTGAAGGCGACGACTGCCTTTTAGATTTCTACCGTTGATGATGGCGATGGTTGGATATAATCACCTTTGTCTTCTCTATGTTCACCTGAAGTCCTGTCTTTCCTGCAAACATCTTAGTTTTCGGCTATAGATCTTCGAGTTTGTGTGCCAAGACATTACACACAAATCATCATTGGCGAAATCTAGATCTTCTCGGGTCTTTTCATCTGTCTAGCATATGACCATCTTCTCTCTCCTCATGGTTTTGTGCATGATCCAGTCCAGTCGACCACAATCAGGAAGATGATCGGTGATAGTAGGCAACCTTGTCTTACCTGTCTTCATTTCAAAGGCATCACTCAGCTTTCCATTGTGAATCACTTGGCATGTAGCACCATCTATAAGAACACAAATATTGCAAGGTGATGTCACTTCGTTGCTTATCTTCAGTGGCACAAAATTAACACTAAATAGGGAAATGCAAGTAGTACGGGATGTCACCTCGACAAAAAGCAGTGACAATCTTATTCAAGGAAGGAAGGTTATCTGTCTAATTACTTTCTTTAATTTCAACATGGTAGAGAAATAAACCACACTATAGTACGAGGAATGTAGCTGAAAGTGAAATGAAATCCCATCTAACCATTGAGTATTGGATGGAATGACTCTATTTGTAGGCCAGCATTCATCACGAATCGACATTCGTTTGAGAATCACTGAAAACCTGGGAACAATTGACAGCTTCATCCTAGCATGCGGTTCTTCAGCAGCGAACACTCACGACCTCACCAGTAATAGAACGTAGGATCATCAGGTCTTGTCGCCAACACGTTGACATTTAGCCACCAGGTTGAGTTTCAGTGATCTGTAATTTTCTACTTCCTCATTTCAATTGGCCACATTGTGACGGTCAGAGAGTATTTCTCCTGACACCTGACTTGGTCACCCCCACTGGTAGAAGGTCCTCACTAGAACTTCGAGAAATCCATCTCAAAGTATGGCAGTCACTTATTCAATTTGGAAGTTTATGAGGATTGATTAACTTCAAAGTAGTAATCAGTCGCCTTAAACCTTCGATTGAAACACTGAAATGTTGCATTCATTTTAAATGATATATTTTCGTCGATTATAAAATGCTTACACTTGATGACTGTATTATGCAAAGAGAAGTTGATAATACGCAAGTAACTTAAATATTTAAGCTAACTCAGAAAAATGGCTATCTTAACTGTGAGCTGATTACTTCAGGAATATTAACAGAAAGGAATCATCACCTTAAATGGCCAAATCGGTACCTAAATGTAAATGATTGTATACAATTTGATATTGACTAACAATTTTTCAATCAAATCTGAACACTTTCCAAGTTACTTGTTAGGCAAATTAATTTATTATTTGTCCCTCGGGTACCTAGTGGAACATACAGCTTCAGTAGCACGTCTCCATTCCACTCCGTTCTCTGCAATCTTTTGAACCTGGCTCCACGATTGCCCATAAGCTCTCATTTCTTCCTCACACGATCTCCTCCATTTCACCCTCGGACAGGCAAATTAATACACTTTGATAAATAGACCTAATGAAAATAAGATTCAACTGAAATATTTTACAACTTCATGAGGTCGAAAATTGAAACAGCTGAGTAATTTCACCGGGATATTCGTATGCAAATTGAATTAAGTAGATCATTTACAAGTCAGTCAGCATACAACCAATTATTATAAATAAGCAATCATATCACTCAATGTGAATATCACAGGACTTTTCTTGCTTATTAGAGACTCCTTGTGACAGGGCTGAAAACTAGCCGCAGTAAGGAAGTTGCTTTGATATTTCTAGAAGTTTGACCATTTCCAACAACCTTAATTAATTTCTCCTCTTATACATGTTTGCCCACTTATATATCCTTCTTTTTTATCCAGTTGTTCCTTGGCATGCTACTATTTTGTATGACAGCGTTTTGTCTGTCTTGTAGATCAGCGGGTTGGCAATCGGGAATTCTCTGATTCCAACCCAGGTTTGCATTTCACATTCATGCATCATACTGTATGAATAGTATCAGTTCACCAAACCACGGATAACTCAAGCAGACCCATCATGTGTTTTGTG